ATTGTCCTTTGATGTGCAGTTATGAAATTTGAACCATGTGCACAGATTAAGATGTAAAGTGACTTTGATATCAGCTGGCGTAGATTTTGACAAAGTGTCTTACTGTGTTGTCCTTTGATGTACAGTCATGGAATTTTGGCCATGTGAAATATGACCTTCACCACCAAATTCACTAGACTCAACTGCATTGATAGATTCCTACTCTGATCTTTTATTTGAATAACAATAGATTTAACCACTAATCTGATAATAAGAATTAGATAGGTCAGTGATCTATGCATTATGGCAATCTTCAATTGTATAGAAACAAAAAATTCTGTTCCTACATTACTATTTAGTGTTGTACATGTATTAATGCGGTGGCATAGCATTTTTCACAAATGCAATCTTGTTATATACTACAATGAATAATCTGATGTATTTGACTAGCTTGGTGGTGGTTCATTGTTGTCTTTAGTTGTAATATTTTCTAGTCGCTGTTTTGTCCATCCGTCTGTCTGTCTTGCTAATTTTGGAGTTATTGCCCTTTGTTCATTTTTACAGTTTGAACTTTGTCTGGGATATAACTCTAAAACTATAAGAGATATCAACATGAAACTTTGTAGGTAGATAGCAGTGCAGTGCAAAACAACCATAACTCTGTCTTGCTAATTTGGGAGTTATTGCCCTTTGTTCATTTTTACAGTTTGAACTTTGTCTGGGATATAACTCTAAAACTATAAAAGATATCAACATGAAACTTTGTAGGTAGATAGCAGTGCAGTGCAAAACAACCATAACTCTGTCTTGCTAATTTTGGAGTTATTGCCATTTGTTCATTTTTACACTTTGAACATTGTCTAGGATATAACTAAAACTATAAGAGATACTGTAAATATTGTCTAGGATATAACTCTAAAACTATAAAAGATATCAACATGAAACTTTGTAGGTAGATAGATCTCATTGGGTAGAAGTGCAGTGCAAAAAAAAACAACATTACTCTGTCTTGCCTAATTTTGGAGTTATTGCCATTTGTTCATTTTTATATGCCAAAAAGAATTTCGGGCATATTATGTTATACCCCCTGGTGTCCGTCTGTCCGTCCGTCCGTTAGCAATTTGGTTTCCGGAGCATAACTTAAGTTCCATTTGGCCCACAATATTCAAACTTCATAGGATGATTGTCCATATTGTCTAGAAGACCCTTATTGATTTTGAGGTCACAAGGTCAAAGGTCAAGGTCACTAATACATTAAAACTGAAAACAGTTTCTGGAGCATAACTTATGTTCCATTTGGCCCACAGTGTTCAAACTTCATAGGATGATTGTCCATATTGGGAAGAAGACCCCTATTGATTTTAGGGTCACAAGGTCAAAGGTCAAGGTCACTATAACCTTAAAACTGAAAACAGTTTCCTGAGCATTACTTAAGTTCCATTTGGCCCACAGTGTTCAAACTTAATAGGATGTTTGTCCATACTTGGTAGAACACCCCTATTGATTTTGGGGTCACAAGTTCAAAGGTCAAGGTCACTATTACCTTAAAACTGAAAACAGTTTCCGGAGCATAACTCAAGTTCCATTTGCCCCACATTATTCAAACTTCATGTTTGTCCATACTTGGTAGAACACCCCTATTGATTTTGAGGTCAAAGGTCAAGGTCACTATTACTATAAAACTGAAAACAGTTTCCGGAGTTAACTTAAGTTCCATTTGGCCCACAATTATGAATATTCAAACTTTATTGGAGGCTTGCTATTTGAAGGAGGTAATACTTTATTCAATTCCCCTGTCTTACAAATGCTTCATCGTTACTAAAAAAAAAAGAAGAACACTTTCGGCATATAATGCTCCGCCTAGCGGTGCTCTTGTTACACTTTGAACTTTGTCCGTGACATAACTCTGAAAGAATAAGGGGTATCAGTATGAAACTTTGTAGGAGCATTGATCGCATTAAAAAGAAGTGCAGTGCAAAAGAACCACATTTCTGCCTTGCTTAATATTGGAGTTATTGCCCTTTGTTCAGTTTTACACTTTGAACTTTTTCTGTGACATAACTCTGACACTAAAAGAGGTATACTTTCCTGTGTCCAAAACCTATTCGGGTATCATCACCCAGTTCAACCATTTCTTGTTAAAATGAGGGTTTTTCTGAAACTGCAATGTAGATTTAAAAGACTAGAAAATATTAAGAAATCTGACACATATAAACTAGTAAATGGACTGAAGGAGTACAGTTACAAAGCCTTCCTAAGGCTGTGTCTACACCTATTCAAGTTTCTTACATGTCACATTTAGATAAGCTAAATAAATGGCCCTTCCAATATTTAATCAGGCACAATTTTTACTGAAATGTCTAATTAAGATTGCCCAGGATTTATACCTTTGTCTTTGCAATACTATCATGTTTCCATAAAATGTGATGATAAAAAAGCGGGAAAATGATGCAATTAGCTTAAACAATGGAGTAAATGAAATTGAAATGTGTACATTCCTTTAAAATAATGGAAAATGTGGAAAAATAATGCAAATTCTTTATTTGATGAAAGTTATTCACTAAATGAACAAGATCATTTAAAAACCATTTTGACTACTTGAAAAACTGATATTTTTTTAATGTTTTTTTAGCTCACCTGAGCATGCTCAGGGTGAGCTTTTAGGATCGATGATTGTCCGTCGTCTGTCCGTCGTCCGTTCACATTTTGTTGTTAACACTCTAGCGGTCGCATTTTTGCCTCAATCATCATCAAACTTGGTCAGGATGCTTGTCTAGGTGATAGCTCAGATGAGTTTGAACATGGGTCATCTCGGATGAAAAACTAGGTCACAAGAGCTAAAAATAGAAAAACCTTGTTAACACTCTAGAGGTCACATTTTTGCCTCAATCATCATCAAACTTGGTCAGGATGTTTGTCTAGGTGATAGCTCGGATGAATTTCGAACATGGGTCATCTCGGATGAAAAAGTAGGTCACCGGAGCTAAAAAAAGAAAAACCTTGTTAACACTCTAGCGGTCACATTTTTGCATCAATCATCATCAAACTTGGTCAGGATGCTTGTCTAGGTGATAGCTCGGATGAGTTTGAACATGGGTCATCTCAGATGAAAAACTAGGTCACTGGAGCTAAAAATAGAAAAACCTTGTTAACACTCTAGAGGTCACATTTTTGCATCAATCATCATCAAACTTGGTCAGGATGCTTATCTAGTTGATAGCTAGGATGAATTTCGAACATGGGTCATCTCGGATGAAAAACTAGGTCACAAGAGCTAAAAATAGAAAAACCTTGTTAACACTCTAGAGGTCACAATTTTGCCTCAATCATCATCAAACTTGGTCAGGATGTTTGCCTAGGTGATAGCTCGGATGAGTTCGAACATGGGTCATCACGGATGAAAAAGTAGGTCACTGGAGCTAAAAATAGAAAAACCTTGTTAACACTCTAGCGGTCACATTTTTGCCTCAATCATCATCAAACTTGGTCAAGATGCTTGTCTAGGTGATAGCTTGGATGAGTTCGAATATGGGTAATCCTGGATGAAAAAATAGGTCACCTGAGCTAAAAATAGAAAAACCTTGTTAACACTCTAGAGGTCACATTTTTGCCTCAATCATCATCAAACTTGGTCAGGATGCTTGTCTAGGTGATAGCTCAGATGAGTTTGAACATGGGTCATCTCGGATGAAAAAGTAGGTCACCGTAGCTAAAAATAGAAAGACTTTGTTAACACACTAGCGGTCACATTTTTGCCTCAATCATCATCAAACTTGGTCAGGATGCTTGTCTAGGTGATAGCTTGCATGAGTTCTAACATGGGTCATCTCAGATGAAAAACTAGGACACCGGAGCTAAAAATAGAAAAACCTTGTTAACACTCCAGCGGTCACATTTTTGCCTCAATCATCATCAAACTTGGTCAGGATGCTTATCTAGTTGATAGCTCGGATGAGTTAGAACATGGGTCATCTCGGATGAAAAACTAGGTCACAAGAGCTAAAAATAGAAAAACCTTCTTAACACTCTAGCGGTCACAATTTTGCCTCAATCATCATCAAGCTTGGTCAGGATGTTTGTCTAGTTGATAGCTTGGATGAGATCGAACATTGGTCATCTCGGATGAAAAACTAGGTCACAGGAGCTAAAAATAGAAAAATCTTGTTAACACTCTAGTGGCTATTGTTTTGATCCAAATATCCTGTAAATTGGTCTGAAAGTTTGTTTTGATGATTTCTAAGTCAAGTTCGAACATGGGTCATCTTGGATGAAAAACTAGGTCACACCGCCCAAATATGGAAAAACCTTGTTAACATTCTAGTGGTCACATTTTCGACTCAATTATCATCAAACTTGGTCAGGATGCTTGTCTAGGTAATTGCTCGGATGAGTTCGAAATCGCATGTGAAACTAGGTCACCTGAGCTAAAAATAGAAAAATCTTGTTAACACTCTAGTTGCTACTGTTTTGATCCAAGTATCCTGGAAATTGGTCTGAAAGTTTGTTTTGATGATTTCTAGGTCAAGTTTGAATATGGGTCACCTGGGTAAAAAACTAGGTCACACTGCTCAAAATGGATAATCCTTGTTAACACTGTAGTGGTCACATTTTTGACTCACCTGTCATGAGACTTGGTCAGAATGCTGGTCTAGGTAATTGTTTGGATGAGTTTGATGGGTCAGGTGAGCGATCTAGGGCCATCATGGCCCTCTTGTTTGTTTTTTTTGCTCTTCTGTGTATCAGTGTATTGATCTGTTCCTCTGACCAAGATATTTTAAACATTTACTAAAATATACAGGTCATGAACACTGAATCAGTAACAAAAAAGTCAGAAAATAATAAAAAAACAACACTATCACACCTTCGGGGCACATGTTTTGTGTCAAACGGTGTTATCAGTGTCTTGACAGCCAAAAACTTATAGAAAAATAGAACATGTTCTAACTTTCTTGCAAGGAATTATCTTCTCTTAAAGTTAAATTATCTTCCTTGTTGTAATATGAAGATTGTTATATTTTTAGCAACATTAGCAGCAAATATGATTGATCCCAATGGTCAACAAAGTGTTATATATGCTACAACATTTCCAAATCAAGGGGTATGTAATGTTTTCCTTGATTAAAAAAATATTCAAAAAGAAACTAGACATACTTTGGCTTTTATTTATTTATATATTATCATATAGATTAGATTACTTTAATTGTTAGTAAAAGTACTACTTATCAGAACTGAAGGAACAATCTGAAAACTTGTGAAGAATTTATCCTTTACTTGATGATAGATACTAGATAATCAGTACATTGAAAATTTTAAGCATCTAATAGAAATTGTCATTATAAGCTCAGTTTTTATACATTTTCTCATTTATAAAAGGATTTACATTTATTTTACATTTATCATCCTAAACACATTTTTATGCCCCCACAAAGTGGGAGCATATAGCGTTGCACTTGTCCGTCCATCCGTCCGTCCGTCTGTCCGTACGTCCCGAAATCTTGTGAACGGAACTCCTCTTAAACCAGATGGCAGATTTTGCTTAAACTTCCAGGGATGAATAACCTTAATGTGTAGATAGTAGTAAAGGAAGGAATTTTTTGCTGCGACCAAATTTAATAGAATTGTGGCCCTTTGTTGATTTTTTCACTATATACTATGTAGAAATTTTGTGAACGCAACTCCTTTTAAACCGGATGGCAGATTTTTCTTTAACTTCCAGGGATGAACAACCTTAATGTGTAGATGGTAGTAAAGGAAGAAATTTTTGCTGCGACCAAATTTAAGAGAATTATGGCTATTTGTTGATTTTTAGTTTTCAACTTGTGGCACATATAGTCCGCAAAATATTTGACCTAGAGTCATAAGATTGACAGAACAGTGGTGTGTGGGGCACCCGTGTCCTATGGACACATTTCTAGTCTTACTAAAGTTTCTCAATTCTTGATTTGTCTGTAACTTCTTAGTTACCTTGTTTTCTCCATTTTCAAATTTTTACACTCTGGTTATTCAAATGGTATCCATAATGCTCATATTGTAAACAATTTTTCAAGTTTTGATTTTTGCTGCAATCAACTCGTTATTACCTCACCTGAATACAAAGTGATAAAGGTAAACTTTTGTTATGGCAGTGTGTCCTTTGTTCAGATATTTGTTGTCTACAATTTCTTCAAACATATTCATTTCCTAAAATACATAATGGATTTTAACCAAACTTTACAGGAATGATCCTCATTTGGTCCTGTACAAAAAGTTTATGAATGCTTGCAGTCTGATGCATAGCCATAAATAGTTCACAGACTTTAGAAATAAGATCTTTAAAAATTTCATTCTCAGAAACTACAATATTTATGGGCCAGATATTAGGCATCACCCTTCTTGGTCCTTTATAAAAGTTATATAAACTGATAAATGAAAGAGGAAAAACATTTTAGTTTAACAAAGAATCCACATGGAATAAACTAAAAAACTAAACCTTAATTGAAGTCTGAGACATTGGTTCATATACATTAATTTTAGTTGGACTTCATAAATTAGTAAAGCGACTTACACTTTGTCAGAATTAATACCAATTAACAACTAAGACCACTGTGAGTCACTCACATCAGTGGTCATAATAGAGAGAATTTACTATTCTATAAAAATGGTTATTGACTGATAATGTAAAGATTTAATCTGTATAAATCATAAAAACACTGCCCTACATTTTTTATTGCTTGAATGTTACATGATAAATCCGGAAAGACATTGATAGAAATTTCAGTGTGGCTAACTGCTCGGGTAATAGTATTTTCCTCTGGATGATATTTTTACTGTTACCCACAAACCCATTTGTTATTTATATACTGTTACATCTTTATTTCTTAAGGGATCATACTTCAAATATATGTTCCTTATCATTATCCACATCTTTTGTGACAAGGTTTTAAAACTTTTGCACCAATATCGCAAGAATTATCTCCCCACGAACTTAGATTTTTTTTAGCTCACCTGACCACAAAGTATAGTGGTATAGTGATGGGGCTATGTCTGTCATCTTGTGTTGTGTGTCTTCAACAATTGGGTTTTCTACACTCTAGAAGTCATGGTTTTGATTGGATCATAATCAAACTTTGTCAGAATGTTTGTGAAAATGAAATACAGGTCAAATTCGAATATGGGTCATATCGGGTCAAAAACTAGGTCACATGAGCTAAAAACAGAAAAAGCTTGTTAACACTCTAGTGGCTGCAGTTTTGATCCAAATATTCAGGAAATTTGTCAGGACCGTTGTTTTGATGATTTCTAGATCAAGTTTGAATATGGTCATCTCCGGTCAAAAACTAGGTCACAGGTGCTAAAAATAGAAAAATCTTGTTTACAGTCTAGTGGCTACAATTTTGATTTAAATGTCCTGGAAATTGATTAGAAAGATTGTTTTGATAATTTCTAGATCATGTTCAAATATGGTCATCTCTGGCCAAAAACTAGGTCACAGGAGCTAAAAATAGAAAAATCTTGATAACACTCTAGTGGCTGCACTTTTGATCCAAATTCTGGAACTTGTTAGGAAAGTTGTTTTGATGATTTCTAGGTCAAGTTCGAATATGGGTTGTCTCCAGTCAAAAACTAGGTCACAGGAGCTAAAAATAGAAAATTTTTGTTATCACTAGTGGCTGCATTTTTATCCAAATATCCTGGAAATTGAATAGGAAGGTTTTAGTTTGATGATTTCTAGGTCAAGTTAGAATATGGATTAACTACGGTCAAAAACTAGGTCACAGGAGCTAAAAATAGAAAAATCTTGTTAACACTACTGTCTGCAGTTTTGATCCAAATATCCTTGAAATTGGTCAGGAAGATTGTTTTGATGATTTCTAGGTCAAGTTTGAATATTGGTCATCTCCAGTCAAAAACTAGGTCACTAGAAGAATCTTGTTAACACTAGTGGCTGCAGTTTTGATCCAAATATTCTGGAACTTTGTCAGGAAAGTTGTTTTGATGATTTCTAGGTCATTGATGATTTCTATGGGTCATCTCTTGTCGAAAACTAGGTCACAGGAGCTAAAAATAGATAAACCCTCCTGTAGGTGCATTTTTGATCCAAATATCCTGAAAATTGATCAGGAAGGTTGTTTTGAAGATTTCTAGATCATGTTCGAATATGGGTCATCTCTGGTCAAAAACTAGGTATCGGGCTAAAAATATAAAAATCTTGTTAACACTCTAGTGGCTGCAGTTTTGATCCAAATATCCTGGAAATTGACCAGGAAATTTGTTTTGATGATTTCTAGGTCAAGTCCCAATATGGGTTGTCGCCGGTCAATAACTAAGTCACAGGAGCTAAAAGTAGAAAAATCTTATTTACACTCTAGTGGCTACTGTTTTGAACATCCTGGAAATTGATCTGAAAGTTTATTTTGATGATTTCTAGGTCAAGTTCTGATATGCAAAAATCTTATTTAAAAAAATCTTATTATCTGGGGTCAAAAACTAGGTCACACTGCTCAAATATAGAATAACCTTGTTACAACTTTAATGGTAACATTTTTAGCTCGACTATTCGATAAGAATATTGTAGTCACCCAAGCCTCTGTGTCGGCGTTGGCGTTACGCTTATGTTTAAGTTTTTGTAATACTTCAAATATTTTCAAAGTCCATTGACATATTGCTTTGAAACTTTGCACACTTGTTCACCATTATAACCCCAACCTGTACACAGGAGTAGGTAACTGTATCAAGCATTATGACAGAATAATGCCCCTTTTTCGACTTAGAATTTACGTTAAAGTTTTTGTAATACCTCAAATATTTTCAAAGTCCATTGACATATGGCTTTGAAACTTTGCACACTTGTTCACCATTATAACCCCAACCTGTAGACAGGAGGAGGTAACTGTATCAAGCATTTTGACAGAATAATGCCCCTTTTTAGCTCGACTATTCGATAAGAATAAGTAGAGCTATTGTAGTCACCCGAGCGTCCGCGTCGGCGTCGGCGTAACCACTTATGTTAAAGTTTTTGTAATAGTTCAAATATTTTCAAAGTCCATTGACATATGGCTTTGAAACTTTGCACACTTGTTCACCATCATGACCCCAACCTGTAGACAGGAGGAAGTAACTCTATCAAGCATTTTGACAGAATTATGCCCCTTTTTCAACTTAGAATTTATGTTAAAGTTTTTGTAATACCTCAAATATTTTCAAAGTCCATCGACATATGGCTTTGAAACTTTGCACACTTGTTCACCATCATGACCCCAACCTATAGACAGGAGGAGGTAACTGTATCAAGCATTTTGACAGAATTATGCCCCTTTTTTGACTTAGAATTTACGTTAAAGTTTTTGTAATAGTTCAAATATTTTCAAAGTCCATTGACATATGGCTTTGAAACTTTGCACACTTGTTCACCATCATGACCCCAACCTGTAGACAGGAGTAGGTAACTGTATCAAGCATTATTTTTTACTATCAAGCACTAGAATAGTCGAGCGTTGCTGTCCTACCGACAGCTCTTGTTCAACTTAGGTTTGCATACCACCTCAGATATTTTCATATTCTATTGAAACAAGTTGAAATTTTATACTCTTCTTTGAGAGCATAATAGGACTCTCTCCAAGGCCTATAACTGTAACATGGATTTAAAGAATAAATTTGTCCTTTTGTTATTAACTCAGAAAATTTAACATTATCAAGGCTCTTTTACTATTAAGCACAAAGAATAGTCGAGCGTTGCTGGGCTACCGACGGCTCTTGTTAACACTATTGTCATTAAACTTGGTCAGGATGCTTATCTAGTTAATTGCTTGGAGAAGTTTGAACATGGGTCTTCTCTGATGTAAAACTAGGTCACATGAGCTAGAAATAGAAAAATCTTGTGAACTCTTTATTGGCTGCTGTTGTTATCCACATATCCTGGAAATTGGTCTACAAGTTTGTTTTGATGGTTTCTAGGTCAAGTTCAAATATGGGTCACCTGGGGTCAAAAACTAGGTCACATTGCCTAAATATGGAAAAACCTTGTTAACAAACAATTGTTGTCAAACTTGGTCAGGATACTTGCCTAAGACATTGCTCGGATGAGGTTGATGGGTCAGGGGAGTGATCTAGGGCCATCTT